TTTCATTAATGTTGTTTTAAGCTACTGTCATTACCGTCTGTCCTGCATCTCTCTCTGTCTTTCTCTCTTTGTCTCTCTTTCTGTCTCATTGTGTCACACAGATTACTGTTAATTTATCATGTTGATCTGTTCTGTACGACATCTATTGCACGTCTGTCCATCCTGGAAGAGGGATCCCTCCTCAGTTGCTCTTCCTGAGGTTTCTACCATTTTTTTCCCCCGTTAAAGGTTTTTTTTGGGGGGAGTTTTTTCCTTATCCGCTGTGAGGGCCCTAAGGACAGAGGGATGTCGTATGCTGTAAAGCCCTGTGAGGCAAATTGTGATTTGTGATATTGGGCTTTATAAATAAAGTTGATTGATTGATTGATTGTCTCAACTCCTAAAACTCTATGTAAAATATTAAGAAATGAATACATAATAGTAGAATGAATGCCATAAAACTTATTATTATTATTATTATTATTACCCAGTGTTGACATAGATCAAGATGGGTTAAGGTGCAGCCACACAATTTGGTAAAAAAAAGACATTTTAAAGGCTACAGTAGAATGTAGGGCTTGTATTAACAAATGCAAAAATTTTCACCAGATGACTTAAAGTAAGAAAATTAAAAAATAGTGGCGGGGCTTTTCCTCACCACAACTACAGAGGCTACCAGCTGCATTGAAACAGACTACATTATAAAAGGGCCGTTATTTATTAATCCCTCTGTGTTTTTATATATTTACTTTTTATCCACTCCTGTTGCCTTGATAAAGTTAATACATCGCGCTGTCATTTCAAACTCAACACTTCCAGAACTTGTTTCAAATTAAAAGCCCCTTATAACCTCGGCTGAGAGAATCCCTCCATTTTCTAAATAGGCTTTTATTGTNTTCAAACTCAACACTTCCAGAACTTGTTTCAAATTAAAAGCCCCTTATAACCTCGGCTGAGAGAATCCCTCCATTTTCTAAATAGGCTTTTATTGTGAAACATTTGTAGGAATTTGGTTGTGGAGGATACAGTAGCTTGTATATTTACATACAACACTTCAAATGGAGCTCCTGCCATCTGCTGGCGCTTTTTACGTTACTACAACAACATTTCGGCTGGCACTGAATAAAAATAGGACAAGAATAACCCGATGACATCACACATGTCGTGAAAGACGACCGGGGATAACTGGTGAGTACCATCGTGTAGTCTGTCATGTCTGTCGGCCAAGTCACGACACGATTTTATGACTCCACAATCGTGTAATGTGACATAGTGACTTTCAGAACGGGCAGAAAAGTTGTGTAGTGTGAACCAGGCATAAATCCTGCTTTACCGTTTCTCCCTCTTGCATGTCGCTTATTTTCAGTGTGTGACTTCAGAGCGTGCATGAGAGGGGGAGGGGCTGCTGCGTGCTCAGGCGAGAGACAGAGAAAGGCGAGCTGAGTGGAGCAACGAGCGGAGCTTCAGAGCTGCTTTTCTGAAGCAAAACAAAAGTTTACATGTTCTAAAAGAAGAGAAAACATTGCCTGTCCTGCGATGTGACTATTGCACACGCGCAAATCGCGATGGCGATGTTCAAACGATAGCGTGCCTGGTATTGGATTGATCATAAGCTGTACTCGCCGATGCCCGATGCCGCATTTTAAGTAGTATCGGAGGCATTTCCGATACTGGTATTGGTATCGGTACAACTCTAATATTAGCAGCAGTGGATGAGAGAATGCGGACAAAGCAGACTGAAATATCTCTTTTCTACAAGTTTACATGTTGCTGAATAGGTGTATTAACGAAGTATTGACTTTTTCCTTGTGGAGGTTTTATTGCAGTAACAAGTGTAGCTGTCGTCAACTCAAGTTATCTACACTTCTCTGTCCCCACTGCGGCATATCTACTCTGTGTTTGTGTGTCTGTGTGTGCGAAAAAATGATGCAGCAGCCCCGATGCACAGACAGCAGGATGAGAGGCTGCTGCAGCATGATAATAAATTACACCACAACGTAAAAACAGTAAGTTAACAGTTACAGAAAAAAAGAGCCGGTAACATTTCAGCTTCTCAATGCTACAGTCATTCATAATTAAGCGCTGGGCCTGTTTACTACCGGAGAGATTAACGTGGTTAAAGCTTCAGTAGTCTCGCCACCAGACAATCAGAGATCTCCGCCTTATGATAGTCTGGGGACACTCCTTTCTAAAGTGTGTTTAACACACCAGAGAAAACGGCCAGCAACAAAGCAACACCTCTTGCATTTTTGAAAAGGACACGCCCTCCCGGAAATGTGCGCTCCCCCTTTTCTCGTCCGCAAGGAAACAAGCACACAGAGAGCTTGAAAATAGATGCAGAGAGATTTAACTCAGTTTAATAAAACGTGTGCTCAGTCCACAAGATTGTGGAAATGAAGGACTTACAACAACTTTGTTTAAAACTTTTAACGCCCTCTGACTATGTTTACGTAGGGAATTTTTTTAAACTCTGAAATTGTATCCGCCCATCTAAACACAAAATTTGGGAGAAAGACATCAGTCTTTAGTTAAGCAAAGCGTCTAAAGACTGACTTGTGAGTCTAAAGCTTCAGGTATAGAGTTTATTAAAAGATCAATCTCGGATTTTATGAATCAATATTGGGTCATTCAAATGAAGATTGATTTGAATTGGATGAATCAATTATTTTAACCCAGTCCTAACAAAGACCCTTGGTCCATTAAGCGTTTCCACCCCAAACAGTGTTCTTAAATGTGGGTGGGGCTGTTGTCACTGACTGCTCCGTCCAGCATTCGCTGTATTTTTCATCATCGGTGACACAGAGGGAAGTCCGCACCTTGTTTATTGTCCACAGAACAGGGTTGTGCGCTGACATTTTCAGAACAAAAAAGAACAGGCAAGAGTGAGACTTTTTCTCAATGGGATATTTAAAAAAACGTGGGTTTGGGCATTTAGTCCTTCTCAGGCAAGCACAGGTTAGGGTTAGTTTTTCCATAGCCCAAAAGAATGAGGCTCTGTGACACTTTTTTCCCCCTGAGGATTAAAATATATACAGTTCTCATAATCTGGTTGAGATTAATATACATTTTTAAAAGATTGAAGAAAAGTGAATGAGAGACAATAAAAACTAATGGAATGGTCAAAGTTGTCATATTGAAATTTAAGGTGTTGCTGATGGATTCACGTCATCAACTCATGCATCAAGTAATACTGCAAGTGACTTTAAAAGTCACCCACAGTCGGGTCTGTGAATTAAGTTATTTTTTTCTCAGTCTGCAGCTGCTGCAAGAGGCAGCAAAACATCCTTTCATTTTATAGTCATAGTTTACTTATACATGTAAGACTTGCCATGGTATGAACAGTGGTTACATAAGCCTCAAAACCAGCCACAACTCAGCCCTGAGCAGAGTGACCATCCTCTATTGACCAATCCATGGACTGCAGTATTTCTAGCTCCACCTTTTAGTACCAGATCAGTGTGCTACATACCCCAACAGAGGGGTGACCAATGATGGGTACATTAAGGAACGGTTCTGTTGGTACCATCCACAACTTTTTACAGTGGAAACAGAAAAAAGCATACCAATCTGAACTGAACCATACCAGACTGCTTGGTGGAAACGGAGCTTAACTGTGTCTGCTGTTGGTACCAGGCAGGTTTTATATAGTGAAAGCTTCTGTAAAGAGCTGTTGCTGGTGAGCAGCCAACAGACTGTTGTCTCTAATATAGTTTTTATAGATATATATATAGAAGTGTTGGACTATGTCATGTTATTTGTGTGCAATGTTTTATGTAAGCCATTCACCCATCCTAATTCTAACTGGAAGACCACATCTCACAGTTATCAGTCAGAACTGATTTTGTTCAGGAAAAAAAGTTTCCAATTTCTTATCAAACGCTTAGAATGATAATAGTAGTGATGACTACCTTCTTTAGCTTGCTCTGGTCATCTTTATAGGTGATCATGAGAGCCAGAGCCAGATCACCTTTCACCCGCCTAGTTCCTTCACACAGCAGAGGATGCTCCGCCTCACTTACTGTGGTCTTCATACCTTCAGACACATAAAGGGGGAGACAACAGGCAAGATTACAGCAGGAGACATGGGGGAGACACAACATGGTAGAATTGACAGAAAATACAAACACAAGGGATGTAAGAAGTCGTGAGGAGAGAAAAGGAGATAGAATATAATCTGCCCAGAAATTAAGGAACAGGACAAAAATAAATTTACCAAGTGCAGCAACAGCAGCCTCGAAGCCCAGCTCCTCATCACCAGGCATCTCATTGTTACGGTTGCGACTTGGTGGACGGGAACCTGTTGGGGACACAACTGCACAAACAATATGTAGAAAAGTGAAAGTGATGTTAATTCTTGAAGTCCCCATTGGCTGACGCACACAGGTATATATACAGTGGCATGCAAAAGTTTGGGCACCCCTAGTCAGAATTTCTTTTCTGTAAATTGTGAAGTAAGTAGAAGATGAATGGATCTCTAAGAAACATTAAAGGGAAATTTCAGTTTATTTCAACCTGTCTCCTATCGTCCTAAATTTGTTTCAAGTGACTAGTGACATAAAAATAATAGTTAGCATGTTAGCTGTTAGCCTAGATACAGCCGGGGCACATAGTAGCGTCAGACCTGTTAAAACGTAAGTGAACGGGCATACTTCAAGTGCAAAGTTAGTCCACTAAACAAGCTTTTTTTCCACAAAGACCGCCTCATATTGTTAGGATAAATGTCAGAGAACATATAGAAAATGACATGCAAACGTGTTGTCTTACCTTACCGGTGTGGTGCCATGTTTGTTTACCATTTAGCTCTGCTTTCCAAAGTGTGGCCGAAATATATCTCACGAGCTCTAGATAAAGCCCAGCTGGATACTACTCCAGGTGGAGGTGTCTCGTCCTCGGTCACATCCAGACCTTGAAAATAAGGCTGCAACCGGTCCCATTCCTTGCAACAGAGGCATTCCTCTTCTGTGGGCACTGGGGCACAGCATTCACAGGTACACCACCAATCTCCAGAGCTACGCAGCCTTGCAGTAGCCATTCCTCCTCTCTCGTCCTCTACCTGTTGCGCCTCTCTCTCTCTCCTCCTCCGTTCTTCAATTTCACGAAGCTCTTCATCAGTGTATTCTGGCTCAAATAAAAAAGGGCGGCCATCAAACTCTGCAAAATAAAATTCCTCCTCCACAAAGTCGAAGTCTGGCAAAAAGTCAGCCATTATTCTATAAATCTTTCATAAAATAAATGAATGAACTTTTCAGGCTACTGTCCAGTTCTGCCTTCCAGCTGTTGCTGCTTGTTCTTGCGAGATTTCAGGCACAGTATGAGATTGCTGCTTGTTCTCGTGATATTTCGGCCACACTTTGGAAAGCAGAGCTAGATGGTAAACAAACATGGCACACACCGGTAAGGTAAGACAACACGTTTACATGTCATTTTCTATATGTTCTCTGACATTTATCCTAAGGATATGAGGCGGTCTTTCTGGGAAAAAAAGCTTGTTTAGTGGACTAACTTTGCACTTGAAGTATGCCCGTTCACTTACGTTTTAACAGGTCTGACGCTACTATGCGCCCCGGCTGTATCTAGGCTAACAGCTAACATGCTAACTATTATTTTTATGTCACTAGTCACTTGAAACAAATTTAGGATGATAGGAGACAGGTTGAAATAAACCGAAATTTCCCTTTAAGTTAAAAATTAAACATTTTTTCAACATTTTAACCAAGATTAGTGTATTCATTTTTGTTTTGTACAATTTTTGAGTGAAAAAAAGGAAAGGAGCACCATGAAAAAGTTTGGGCACCCCATGACATTTGAGCTCTCAGCTCTCAATCAAATGAGCAGTGCATGCAAGTCGGCCCAAGAATCTCACAGAGCCAGAATCCTTTTGCAGGAAGAATGGGTGAAAATCCCCCATAAAAGAACTGAAAGACTCTTAGCTGGTTAAATAAAGTGTTTAGAGGGTGTGATACTGGTACTGACCATGCAGGGTGCCGAAACTTTGCTTTAGGCCCTTTTCCTTTTTTGTTATTTTGAAACTGTAAAAGATTGAAATAAGAACAATAATCATGCATAACTGTTTTTCCTTTTGTAAATCAGGTCACTCTCTACTTACTTAACTGATCACAGTAAATGAAATTTTGACCAGGGGTGCCCAATGCAACATCATCAGCTTCATTCTGGTGGGGGACTTGCACGTCAGAGCCTTAGCATTGTTCAACATAGTTTAACATCTTGTACTAAATGAAATCCAGTGATCAAATAACAATTGGTGCTTACCTGGCGTACACAGTACATCAAAGATGAAACTGGCCAACATGAGGGGCAGCACAGGTCTATAATCACAGAAGTTTCCATCTCTGAGCTGCTCAGCTCTCTCTCTGATAGCCGACATCTCCACCAGGCCCAGAGGAATCTTCTTCAACAGAGCCACCACTTCTGACTCCTGGTAGGCCAGCTTCACCTGGTCAACACACACTCACACAGTCACAATGTGTGGTACATGTTCATTCCTCCACATTATTTATGCAGTTTTGGATACACCATATACATTAGACATATGGGAACAAGGAAGCAACCCCCAAATTAAAACCCTGTGTTTATCGACATTTTTAGCATTTTAGAGACATTCCTGTTCAGAGTGACTTGTGGAGATGCTCAGTCTTTATTGAAACAACACTATCAATTCAAGTAGTCAAAGCAAAGTCCTGCATCGGCTCTCCTCTGAGGCTAACATGCTTGTAGTGGATAAAATAGAAATACACAGTTTTTAATTACTAGGGATGTAACAATACATAAATGTGGATCAAATTATCTATTCACTAATCATGATCCAATATCATCGATGCAAAGTGAAAATGTCAATACATATCATGATCTTTAAAATACTTTAAAATTCCCATGGCATGTTCACGTCACCATTCCACCCAAACACACCTCATCCATAATCATTTAAAAAGTGCTAGCATCCTAACACCAGACAGACAACGGCAAGTAGCCAATAAACTGACAAATTTTCTCTTAGTTTTGTTCTTATCCAATTTGTCCTTAAGTTGTTCTACCCACTGATTTCTGGGATTCACCAATGTTTTCTTATCTTTGCTCTTCTCTTAAGCCCGGTGTACACTGTGTGATTTTGGGCTGTCCCAGACAAAAGAGGACCAACATAAAAGAGACGTGGCAATATTTGGTCATGGCTCTAAAGCAGTGGAGTTGTGGCAGCAGAAGCCTTGCCTGTATGATGTGTCCTCCAGCTCTTACCATGATCACGTAAAGAAGGATGAAACATGGAAGGAAACAGCTGTGGAGTTGCAGCTGCCAGGTGAGCAACCTAGCAGCTAGCAAAAACACACACAGACACACCGCAGAATATAATGCCCACTAGGTTAGGTTATTTATAAATGTGACCCTCTATGCTTCACAGTTGGAGAAGTAATAACCCGTGCAGCATCCTTGCACACTCAGTATGGGAAGCTACTGCATTGTAGGCCGTAGCCTGCGATTCAGTAGGAGCTGTCATCGTACAGTCTGCATACCCAAGTTTATTAGATCAATGTTGCACAGTATAGCTTGCACTAAACTTAAAAGATTGCTAAAATCTTACAGTCTGTAGGAGGCTTTAGGGAAGAGAACATTTTACGAATGCTTGAGAGAACTCTGACCAAGATAAGATAAGAGAGAAAAAAAATCTGATTTTTACAGGCAAATTCATCTGCAGATGGTCTGGTTCGAAATGAGACTTAACTTTTTTATGGGTGTCATTTTCTGAAGTTAAAATTTGGCCTACAAGAGCAGGAACTCCTTCAAAATTTAGTCTGTAACCCGGGGGACGTGCCTTACATACCCCGGGTGCGAGTGTTGGTGCCTGATGCGCATTCCTGACGGCTCACACGGGGTCATCTCATCACTTTTTGGATAAGCTAGCAAAACAGTAACCTAAAAAGTTGTGTATTAACGCAATCTTTGCCTTAACCCCAAGATTAAACCTACAAGAAACCTCATGTTTAACTGTACCTTATTATTTTTTTGTGATTATCAGTTTACCAGGATACACTTAGATTGGCACAACTGCAACCACAACCACGAACCTCCAGACAAGAAGGGTGAAGAAGAATCTCCTCAGATGGAGGCTCTGTATTCTGATATCAATATAGTATCTTAATTTAATAGCTGCCCAGCTCAAACAAGCTTACAAGGCAGACTATCAGTTTCCATCTCCATAGTTGTGAAACCACATATAAAAATCATAGAAAACATAAATAATATATTCTGCAGACCTTTATGTGCATGAAATAAACTTAAATTATATGTGTGTACTATTCAGTCTAATTGTCTAATCTTTAGAAATAAAACTAGCCCATACTTTGACACTTAGTCCAACTTCTCAAAACATCAAAACAAAATGCTCTGCTGAGACAGAGACAGAGACAGAGATAGAGTGAGAGTGAGAGTGAGAATCTGTATGTGGCAGTGAATACTGATAGTGATACACAAATGAATGAGTGGGAAACCCTGCAGCCACAAATGTGCACACAATATTAAATGTTGACAGATCCAGTAGTATACAGGATAAGATGGGAACAGACAGATACACACACACACACACTCACTCACATAGTCATGCACACACACACAACCAAACACATGGGCCCCGTTTCCACCAAACATTTTCGGTATAATACCTTTAGAACCATAAGTAACCCTTCAGATATGATACCTAGACCCTAGGTCTGTTTAGTGTTTCAACTGCAAACAGTGCTCTCAAATGTGGGCGGGGTTATTGTCACTTAGTGCTCCATCCAGCACTCCCTGTATTTCCTCTTCACCAGTGACACAAATGAAAGTCTGCACCCCATTTATAGTCCACAGAATGGGGTTGTAAACTGACATTTTTAGAACAAAACAGAACAGGCTGGAGTGAGAATCTCACTCCATGGGATAGTTAAAAACAGCGGGTTTGTATATTTAGTCCTACTCAGGCAAGCAAAGGGGTTTAGTGTTGCCGTAGCCCACAGGAACGACGCTCTGTGGGGCTTTTTTTTTTCTCCAAATCAGGATTAGAATATATGCAGTTCACATAATCCGGTCAAAAATAATATATATTGCTTGAAGATCCACTCATTACTAAAAGTGAATGAGAGACAATAAAAACTAATGGAATAATTAAAGTTGTCATATTGAAATTGTAGGTGTGCTGATGGATTCACGTCATCAACTCATACATTAAGGAACATAATAACATACAAGTAAATGTTCCATCTTAAAAGTTGCCGGCAGTTAGCCCAGTGAATAAAATTATATTATCTCAGACTACAGGTGTTGCGAGACACAGCAAAACATCATTTCATTTTATAGTTAAGAGTTTACTAATGTACAGTACAGGCCAAAAGTTTGGACACACCTTCTCATTCAATGCGTTTTCTTTATTTTCATGACTATTTATATTGTAGATTCTCACTGAAGGCATCAAAACTATGAATGAACACGTGGAGTTATGTACTTAACAAAAAAAGGTGAAATAACTGAAAACATGTTTTATATTCTAGTTTCTTCAAAATAGCCACCCTTTGCTCTGATTACTGCTTTGCACACTCTTGGCATTCTCTCCATGAGCTTCAAGAGGTAGTCACCTGAAATGGTTTTCCAACAGTCTTGAAGGAGTTCCCAGAGGTGTTTAGCACTTGTTGGCCCCTTTGTCTTCACTCTGCGGTCCAGCTCACCCCAAACCATCTGGATTGGGTTCAGGTCCGGTGACTGTGGAGGCCAGGTCATCTGCCGCAGCACTCCATCACTCTCCTTCTTGGTCAAATAGCCCTTACACAGCCTGGAGGTGTGTTTGGGGTCATTGTCCTGTTGAAAAATAAATGATGGTCCAACTAAACGCAAACCGGATGGGATGGCATGTCGCTGCAGGATGCTGTGGTAGCCATGCTGGTTCAGTGTGCCTTCAATTTTGAATAAATCCCCAACAGTGTCACCAGCAAAACACCCCCACACCATCACACCTCCTCCTCCATGCTTCACAGTGGGAACCAGGCATGTGGAATCCATCCGTTCACCTTTTCTGCGTCTCACAAAGACACGGCGGTTGGAACCAAAGATCTCAAATTTGGGCTCATCAGACCAAAGCACAGATTTCCACTGGTCTAATGTCCATTCCTTGTGTTTCTTGGCCCAAATAAATCTCTTCTGCTTGTTGCCTCTCCTTAGCAGTGGTTTCCTAGCAGCTATTTGACCATCAAGGTCTGATTCGCGCAGTCTCCTCTTAACAGTTGTTCTAGAGATGAGTCTGCTGCTAGAACTCTGTGTGGCATTCATCTGGTCTCTGATCTGAGCTGCTGTTAACTTGCGATTTCTGAGGCTGGTGACTCGGATGAACTTATCCTCAGAAGCAGAGGTGACTCTAGGTCTTCCTTTCCTGGGTCGGTCCTCATGTGTGCCAGTTTGGTTGTAGCGCTTGATGGTTTTTGCGACTCCACTTGGGGACACATTTAAAGTTTTTGCAATTTTCCAGACTGACTGACCTTCATTTCTTAAAGTAATGATGGCCACTCATTTTTCTTTAGTTAGCTGATTGGTTCTTGCCATAATATGAATTTTAACAGTTGTCCAATAGGGCTGTCGGCTGTGTATTAACCTGACTTCTGCACAACACAACTGATGGTCCCAACCCCATTGATAAAGCAAGAAATTCCACTAATTAACCCTGATAAGGCACACCTGTGAAGTGGAAACCATTTCAGGTGACTACCTCTTGAAGCTCATGGAGAGAATGCCAAGAGTGTGCAAAGCAGTAATCAGAGCAAAGGGTGGCTATTTTGAAGAAACTAGAATATAAAACATGTTTTCAGTTATTTCACCTTTTTTTGTTAAGTACATAACTCCACATGTGTTCATTCATAGTTTTGATGCCATCAGTGAGAATCTACAATGTAAATAGTCATGAAAATAAAGAAAACGCATTGAATGAGAAGGTGTGTCCAAACTTTTGGCCTGTACTGTATGTAAAACTTGCCACGGTATGAGCAGTGGTTACATAAGCTTCAACACAAGCCACAACTCAGCCCTGAGCAAGAGTGACCATCCGCTATTGACTAATCAATGGGCTGCAATATTGCTAGGTACCCCAACAGAGGGGTGACCAAAAATTGGGACGGTATGCAACAGTTCCATTGGTACCATGCACAACTTTTCACTGAGGAAATGGAAAAGATGCGTACTGTACAGAAGTGAACCGTACCGTACTGCTTGGTGGAAACAGGGCTATGATGGCTTACTCCTGACAGGGATAATGAATTTTATTCTATTTTTAGGATTTTTCAAGCATCCAGAGTATGTGTGTGTATTTATGTAAAAGTGAAAGACCTCCAGAGCTTTGGTAGATGCCGGTGGTCTTTGGAGTTCCAGGGAGAACATGCCAGTGCTGAAGGCCAGGTTGTGGAGCTCCAGTCGTTCACTGAGAACAGTGAGGAGAAAGGCGGCTTTTGACAGCGTATTGGTGGCTACCTGTGTCTGACGGCTCGTTGACACCTTGCTCTTCTTACCCTAAATCAGGGAAATAACGATGTCAGAAAATTAAACAAAACTTTATTTCTGAAAAGTAGATTCACAGTTTGAATTTCTTCATTTTTGTGAATATTTAATATTTGTTGCTCATTTACAAACTGGCACAATACAAAATTGGCACAGTAACAATGCCAATGAATATAAAACAGTTATCAGAAAAATGTGGTGGCTTTCGTTCATGAAGAACAGCTCATTATCCCACTACACCATTCAAAATGCTGACTGATGTCTTTGGTAAATTGAAACTGTACAACAGAAGGAGAGAAGGGAAGTAGTAGAGAGTGTGTTGTGGGGTGCTGGGACTTGTGACTGTATCTACCTTAGTCTGTGGCTGCTCCACTTTCAGGTCTGGAGGGTTGGCTAACAAGTCTCTAGCCAGCTCCACGGCCAGCCGGCACGCCTCGTTACTGTAGCCATGAGCATGGAGGGCCTCAGCACACGCAAACAGCACCTGTACACGCATGCACGCATGCACGCACACAGAAAAATAATGCCTTTTTTTTTAAAAAAAAAAAAACATACTTCATTTTGTAATTTTTTCTTCCAATCTCCAGCTTTGGTAACACAGCTAAGGGTAAACAATATGTAGTCAGTAGTCAGCACTGAATTTAATTCAGTTATCTAAGTCACATATTTGGAAGAAGTAATAAATGTTCTCAATGGCAGTGTGTGGGTGTGTGACCCAAGAAAGCGCTGCACTGAATTGTAGTGGCTACAGTGAATGCAGGCCTGCAGTTTGGCATGCAGACACATGACCTGGCTGTCAGAATTTGCATTTCCATGACAGCTAACGTTGGCCTAAGTGCCCACCCACACAGATATTGCACCAATCAAATTACAGTAGTGACACTGTCCGTCTGTACCAAAGACTCATGCCCACTGGAGAACACTTGGTCTTCCTTACCTCCATGCGTCCCTCCTGCTCCAGCGGTTTCATCCCTGCAAAAATGTCTGGCTCCTCCTCCTGGTGGTTGTCAGTCAGCTGTCTGTCTGCTCCCTCCTCTGAGGCAGCACTCAGGTAGTATGCCTGATAGTCGTCCTCACCCACAACTTCTCCTTCTGCAACTCCACCTGCTGCCTCTGCTCCTTGGTTAGTTAGTCCACCTGCAGCTGCTGCCCCACTCCCTGCTGCTGCTCCAGCAAACACCCCTTCTCTACGGCCCCGCGGTAGCTTTGCAGATGTTTGAGTGGTACCTGATCTTGCTGTAGCCGTTGAGGTGGAAGGCTGGTTGCTGCCAGCCGAGTCTACATCTTCATCTTTGTTCTGGACAGGCTCTACCTCCAGCTCTGCTCCTTCCTTCTCTGCAGCGCTGGGCATGTCCATAACAACCAACACTGTCTCTTTGGAAGGGAAGCAAGGTGGAGCAGGCTCTGCAGCAGGAAGTGCAGCTGAGGCATGGCTGACACGCTTCGTTTCAAACATCTTGCTCCCCCCGCCGCTGTTGCTGTATTTGCGTGAGTCTCGGAGCAGTGGGCTTGGGGAGGGCAGCATCTCTGGTGGCGGGGGGAGAAACTCAAATGTATTGGAGGCCTCAGCCCCCAGAGCCAGACTGCAACCATCATCCAGACTGAGCTCTGCCAGATCCGGCTCCAGGGAGCTGTCCTCACTGCTGGTTCTTCGCTTGGCACTATTATGCTTACCTCCTCCTAACCCACTTGCTCCAGGGCCTCCCACAGGTGCCCCCTTCCCACCTCCCTGTGTCAGTTTCAGCTTCCCTCCAGAGGAGGAGCCTGGCCCTTTATACATGCACTTCCCTCCTCCATCTTCCAAGGACAATGAAACACTCCCGGCCAGACGGACCAGCATCCCTCCCCCTCCGCTCACTGACAGACCCTTTCTCTTGGTCAGTATGGTCTCCTTGGGTCGCACTGCCACCTCCTGTTGAGACGAGTGACCACTTCCTCTTCCTTTATAATCTCCCCCAGCTCCTCCTTCAGCTCTACCCGCTCCCCCTGCTTCAGGAGGTTCCCCACCCACTCCTGTAGCAGCTTTGACTCCTCTCTGGTGCTGCACTGCCCTGGACCAGCAGAATGTGGCACTCTTCTTATCAGCACTGCAGTAGGTGATGCCATCCAATGGGTAGGCCACTTCCCAGTTGAAATAGCAGGACTCAACAGCAGGCTTGAAGCCCTGGAACAGTTTATCCAGGGACTTGCGATGTTGTCCCCGCTTCACTATGTCTATAACTTTGAGGTGCCACTGCTTGAGCTGTCCTGCCAGTTCCAGACGCCTGGAAGAGATCGTACACAGTCTTTATTTGCAATCCCTACTTCATATTTACTCCTACCTTAAACATATCTTCAATGCAACCATTATGTAGTAAATGCCTGATATCACATTACTTTCCCATTCATGACCAAATTCTGTGACAGTTGAAGAAGTCTATAAGCAGTGTGTGGCCTGGTGTTAGCAGTCTGACCTGCAGGGGCTCATAGTGGGGTCGAGCACTGCCAGCCTCCATAGCACCACCATTTCATCACACATGCTGGCACAGGCATGAGCTGCCACCTCTGACTGGCCGTTGCTGCGCCCGGTGTGGCCGCTGGCACTGCTGTGGGACGCTGAGGTCCGTACACTGTACCACCAGCTGATGATCTGAACACACACACAGTCAGACAATTCAGTGAAAGGTGTCAAGAATTAACTGTAGATAACAAGTCCCTATTTATTGAAGGTCCATATATGAATTCTACATCTAATGTCAAAGGTCTGGAACATTGCCAGCACAATGCTCCAGCATAGATAAAATTCATTAAGTTATCAATAATGCAACAAAAACAAGCATCCTCAGCTAACTGTAGTATAATGTTAACTTAATAAGTAATATGGGCAACCTCAGTGGCGATTCTAGCACATGTGGTGCCCTAGGTGAGCAAATTTCTCCTTCAAACAGCTGCATTAATTCAAGTTTCTCACCAAAAGCTACATTTTACAAGATTACACTGAACATATCATGAGAACATTGTAATTTACCTTTGCCCAATACTCTCTTTTACTGAATAGAGCTTCACACTGTAAATTAATGAAACCACCCTGAGCTGTTTGTTTTGGCCACCAGTTACTTAGAGGCTTAGAGACCAGTTACTTACTAGTTCCTGTTGATTTCAACACGGATTTGTTCGTTTTTCATGTACTTTCTCTCCACATCCACTCCTCTCAGTAGTGTAGTGGTAGTTGAGTGGGCACCAGAGAGCTTTTATCATTTTGACATGATTATGATACAGCATATTTTGGGGTTCATGTGACTTCAGATAACTCGCCCATCCCCCCAGAGAGCAGGTTAAGTGTAACGAGATGGGGGCCGGAGGGCGCCAGGAACCCAGAAAAAAAGGCCTATGTCTTATTTAGTAAGCTTTGCTACATAGTTATGTTGTTGTGACCTTATGTAATATTTCAAAAATAGTAGCAGTAATATTACTGGTAAAAAACAGAAGATAAACATTTTGATTTTGTTTTTGTCCCCCATTTGGGCGCCCCCCATGGATGACAGCTCCCTTAGCATTCGCCTATACTGCCTATGCCATGGGCCGGCAATGGTCCACCCTGCACTGATTTGCTACTCAGTCCAGATCCAGACCTGCCCTGGCATATATAGAAGCTGTGCAAATTTCAGTCCTTTATACTCTTGATGTAACTGACACTTTGCTAAGTCCAGCCCATGGACGCAGACTGGCCAATCATAACATAGTATCAGGCCAGCTCAGACCAGGATCTCACAACAACACAGCTGTGCTCCATTGACTAATGCAATCGTTTCAGATTTCCTTCATTTTCAGGCTGGTTTTGTGGATTTCAAGCTAAATGTTGTGCCTGGGGCACATGTAATAATTATACTCATTACCTGGAGAGATTGGAAAAAGATATACGTTTCTTCCCAAAATCAAATCAAAATCAAACCCTGAAAAGTTAGCAAGCTAGCTACTGAAGGTCTAGCCCACTGAATGTATACACATGTTGCTTTTGCTTTTTAATGATTTTAACACTGAAAAAGACCTACCCCTGCTCTACCTGCTCTACAGAAACCAGTGAAGGGAAACAGGGAAACTCTGCTGATATTCAACCAGCTGTGTGTCATCACAATGTGCGCAGATGAACATTGTTTGACTTTGCCCGGAAATCCCTGCCTATTCAGCAGCAGAGGTCCGGGTGCACGGGTATCCGGGTATACAAGAACAGTTTTAACTTTTCAACTCTTACTTTAACTTCAACATGCTTATGTCTGTAGTTTTTAATCTTTGCAGTGGTTTACATTCGGCAGCTAAAGCTGATGTCATATGGGGAAGTACCTGTTCATAGGTGAGGCACTGTTCAGTGAGAATTTCAAGCAGTGGGGCTGCATTGCTGTCTCGTCTCTTGAACATCTCCCTGACAATGGACAGAAGGTTCCAGATGCCTTCTGGCTCTCGGCCCCTCAGAGGTCGCAGCAGGCACGCCCACTCAGCAGCGGCTGGCGGCTCCGTGGACGAAAGGTACATGGAGTTTACATCACTGTGGATAACACACACACGCACGCACGCACGCACACAGCACTAATTTTAGTCAAGTAACACTACAATGCATCAATCAGGAAGAAAGAGGGAGTGAAGTTAAACAGAGTAGAAATAAAGAAAGCATCAACTACACTCCCTGTGCTGATCAAAATCAAGAAATATGTCAGCCAGTAGGAGGATATAGCTTTGTTTTGTATCTTTAGTAGCTTTTAGACAACACATGTTTAAAGGGGGCAGTGAGGTGTTTAAACATAGCCCTAAAATGTAAAAATATTCCTGCTAAAGCCTTTCAGAAATGTAAGGACCATTATGTGAGACAGGTAATGTGTACCTAAAGACGACAGGTGAGGGCCCACAGAACTTGTGCAGAGTCTTTTTGATGTTGTCGCTGAGGGTAGACTCATCTAAATACCAGGTGCTTTGGTCAGATGCCGAAGGGCCTGCTGTCGGGTCTACACACACACACAGACACACAGACACAGACACACACACACACACACAGATCATATAGTAATAGTTTGAGCTGTCACTCCCTTATTTCCAAAGGAAAGTCTAAATTAAATGATTGTAAGCTTTCCTTTGGTGATAATATCAGACAGTGCACATCATGACAGCTCAAGCTTTTGGTCTTGCTGTATATTGTGATTACTTCAACTGTACCTGGAGCTCCACACACGGTGTTAATGGCAGTGGACTGAGAGGACAGCAGCTCATCCAGCAGCCGTTGAGCTGTGGGTAGGATCTGGCGATGCAAAACAAATAAATGAATAACAAACTTGCTTTGTCAGATATACAGCATACAGCATGGAAATATTTTACTTTCATTTTGTTCAATAGTTTGGTTAATCAAGTTAAAGGGTAAGTTTGGTGTATTTCAACCTGGACCCTATTTTCCAATGTTTCTGAGTCTGAATGACTAATGGGAACAAGAATTTTTGAAACTGGTCCAGTGTTTAGTGAAAAACAGGCTGCAATGCAACTATTCAGGACATGTCTGCACTGTCAATTTACAGTACATCTGCTAAAAGTGCTTGTTTTGACACTGACATGCTCAGATTATTATTCTTAGTCTCTGACAATTTATGGAAAGGATCCCTACACAGAGTGACCTTGTGTGTTAAAGAGTAAGATCCTTTTTGTTTAACCAGAAAAAGCCCTGAAACCGCTATTACCAAACTCCATTTAAATAAACAGTAATTGTATCATCGTAAAACACACTTTGTTCAGAGACAACAGAAACTAAATAAACCTACAAAAACTATCTTGTTTCTTCTTTTCACTGTTAAAACAATCATGAACTATGGTTTGCTTGATATAAACCATAAATTCACCAGTTAGATGTCAAACTATGCTGGTTCTATACTATCTATAAATTACTGTTTATTTAAATGGAGTCTAGTGGGTTTGGCAATTGCGATTTCGGGGCCGGGTCTTACCCTTCAAAAAAAAAAGTCTATCTCTGTAGAGATCCTTTCTGGAAGTTGTAAGACTAAAATAATAATCTGAGCCTGACAGTGGCACTTTTAATGGGTGTACATTGGAGGATGTGAAGATGCCCCGAGTGTTTACATTTAGGGATGGCCAGATCCGATATTTGGATCGGTATCGGCCACCGATATTAGCAAAAAACGTGCATCGGATCAGACTGCATGGAAAAATGCCGATCCAAGAACTCTGATCCAGTTTTTCACGGAGTCCGATCCAGGTTTTCCAACCAGCCCAGCACTCCGCGATTCAAGCAGTCCATTCCAGTGATCCACTCCAGCTCTTACTATCAATCCACCAGGCCAGCATGCAGACAGCAGACATACACGGAGGGTAGGAAGAGTAGCGGTCAATTTAGATAACTGACTATTTGTTTTCTGCTCTGGTTTTTTGAGAGTGATATTTTTATTCGGTTTACACTCTTACTGTTTAAGTAAAGAGCACTGATGGCATTGTTTTGGGCACAATTAGTAAAACTGGAGCCATGGATGGACTATTGCTTGTTTAAACAGTTGTACAATATTGTGTGTGGTTTTTTGTCCCCTCTGTTGGTCCCAGGAAACAGCAGCACCAGGCTGGCACTGAC